TTGCGTAGCAGGGCTAAGACGTTTGTGCCGTTTGTGTTGTTGCCCCTGCACTTATTGAGGGCAGACCGGGCAAGTTGAGGTTCATAAGGTAAGGTAAGGAAGGTACTTGGATGTTTTGTATTGGATTAGAAATCGGTTGGTCTGCAGTGAGGGATAAGCAGCTGCCAGATCTGGGCATCCATCTCGTCATATGTAGGTAAGATAATCCCCATTGCCCCCCCGAGCTGACCGGGGAGAAGAGAGAAAATGTGTGTGAAGGAAACGGTGGAAGTAGATCCGGGCCTCCGGCAACGAAGTGTGCATGCAGGAGGTGCGCATTGGTGGTGAATCGTGTGAGAGAAGATGTCCAGTGGTGTTCCTTCCAGTGATGTAGGTGCGAAGGAGGCGTACAGTGCCAGGAGACGCAACACCTGCCTCAATGGTTACACTCGGCCCCTTGGGGGATCTTGCCTCCGCCAGCCGATACGATTTAATGTTCGAGAAGGAGTTTGGATCTGTTGAAGAGATTTAAACGATGGGGGGGGCAAGGGGAGCAAGGGGAGCAAGGGGAGCACGGGGAGCACGGGGGTTTGCTACCTACCTGACCATTGGGACAAGAAAAAAGGAGGCAGGTGGTGGTGAGTGGTCAGCGGTGCCTTCCATTGTGGTTGCTCGGACTTGTCTCCCCACGTCATCGCCTACACTCGGCTATCCGCGGGAGGGGTAACATGGGAAACCGAGAATGGAAGGGACAAGGAAGGAAGATAGCGATAACACTTGCTCCCATTGCCCCAATTCCGCCCTTTGCACCTACCCTACCAGCCTAGGTACCTTACCCTAGGTAGGTACCTGAGTACCGTATGTGTGGAGGGGCAAACCCGTCCGGGTTGTCGCACTCGCAGTTTGTCCCAGCATCAAGTCACCTCAATGCTCAATGCGGGCAAGTATCTTTCAGCTGCACGCATCTCAACAACAACCTTGAAGTCTTGGCGACGAACTTGACGATGAATTCCGCACTCTTCTTTCCGTCTTGTTCGCGAATCGCGAGGTCGCGAGGCAATACGTGCGCACTTACGAACTTACGACTCATCTTCCCGAAAAAAACAACGCCATCAACACCGGGGATGACCTCAATTGATTCGATCGGCCGCATCAAAACCCTGTCTGACCATGTCAATAGTTGTCGACCAAAGGGCAAAAAGGGCGAATTGAACAAGTAGGGCGCGTTTGATCATTGCGATGTCGGACCTTGCCCATGCTCATCCCCTGAACATGACAACATGCTCGCTGCACCCGGAATGGGCTTATCGGGTAGCTAATGTATTCAGAGTCATAGACTGTTGCGTTCGAATGAGGTCGAATGAGACATCAAAACAACATCTACACTAGCTGAATTGCAAGTCCGATGCTGGAGCCACGCATCCACGGTACATACTCTACCACACTACCTTACGTTGAAGTTCGGCTTCGGACCGCGCGCACCAAAGCCGCAATGGGGCACAAGGACGTCGACCGACTGGAGCCGTGCCCGGCCGACGGCTTGTGGTGGGACAAACTGAGGTGCATCGCCTTCTCGTACAGCATTCCCTCCCGTCAGGCAGTTCCCTGCCTCACCTTTGGGCCGGCGCTGCTGCTGCTGCTGCTGCTACTACTGCATTGCGTTGCGGTGTACGACGGCATGTACGGAGTACCTGACGCGCCATTGACTAAAAAATCGACCCCCGACGAATGGGCGGCCGCGACTTGACCTCTTGTTTCGTCACAGATTTTTCTCAACATGTCCCTTGCAAGTCGCAACTTGCCGGTCTTCTTCAGACGCTCCCGAGTACCTGTGGCCATTTCGAGGTGGGATGGTCCCGGCTCTAGCGGATAACTGTGGGATCCGAATTTTCTTTCACTTCTCTTTTTTCTTTCTTTTTGCCATTCTCAGCCTTGGATTGGTAGTCTGCCAACTGGCTTATCTCTGAAGAACGGCATGTCTGTGTGGGGACTCGAGCAGCAAGACAATCCTTCCTCGATCAAAGGACGGGCTTCGATTCGATCATCGCCGACGCACTGGCACCAGTGGGAAGGCCAGAGATGAGATGAGATGTGAGAGAAACAGTTCCATCCTGACAACCCCCAAGTTCAAACCGCTGCCACCGACGCTTCACAATTGCTCACGCGCTGGTGGGTCCCGGTCCGGCTCCACTTAGAAAAACAGTACTCGGGCTCGGCATTGGCATTCCACGATGAGCCCTCGACGTTGGACATCGGCACAACGTTCCCTCAGAGTTGCTTTCCTGTACGGTCGACGGTACAGAATAGTAGGACAATGGCGGAAGGGGAACCTCAAGGGGCTGACGGCGTTGCCTCCATCTGGCGACCTTTCCGCATGTGGATCCCCCGGGCAAGCGACGGCATACCAACGACAAAAAGCCATGCAGCATATCGGCCGCCTTGGCTTGAAAGTTCCAGTCAACCATCCTCCACGGTCCACGCTCCATGCTCCACCATCGGCATCCATCCATGACTTAGATTGACTAGGGCATGGATCAATTCCTGAACCGTTGGCGTCTGCTGGTCTCTTTTCTTACACGCATCTGGTTTACCGTCTGGCAACCACCCCCAACCAACCATACGGAGTATCCGTACCCAGCAACCACTTCAGACGGACGAGTTTGCTTGTTCTTCTTCTTCTCTGTGTGTATTCGTGCTACCTCACACACTCTCTGCGAGGTACCGGACAGACGAAGAGTCTTCCTCCCCTTACCCTTCCCACCCCATCCACATCCATGCTCCATGCACTGCACAGGTCAAATTCTCCATGATGTTCCCTGTTATCTGAAAACGCCCTTTCCAAGACCGGACCCGCTGCCCCTCTGCATTGGCCCTTGAGTCACCTGCTCCATCTGTCACTAGAACCTTGAGCCAAGCCAAACTGTGACAAACCCGTCCTACTTAAGCTCTTCCGTCACTCCTGCAACTTGACCCCGTGGCTTTGATCTCTTCCTTCTCCATCATAAGCTGAATCTCTTCCTCCTTGTGTCCTTCCTCTTACATACACACATATCGCTGGTGTGTTTCCTCTAGCCTGTGCTATCTGCCACTTCGTTCAAGTAACAGCAAACCGACCCCGCGACCCCTCCGACTCCGCGATCCTTTATATATCCACCACATCGTCTCTCACAAACAACACTATACTCGCCTAAACAACCACAATGGCTCCCGGCACCATCTCCCCCGGCCTGCACCATGGCAACCAGGATATCGACCTGACTTCCTCCGCCATTGAGCATAAGCTTGAGGCTATTCCCAATGGCAAGGCTTCCAACGGCACCAAGACCGCCTACCAGGAGCTCGACGCCTCCAAGCTCACTTACAGCCGCACCCAGAACCCCCGTGCCGTTCCCGACCCTGCCACCGCCAATGCCGGCTCCGAGACCATCGCCACCGACCACATGGTCGCTGCCACCTGGAAGGTCGGCACTGGCTGGTCCATCCCGGAGTTGAAGCCCTACGGACCCATCTCGCTCATGCCGACTGCCTCCGTCCTGCACTACGCCACCGAATGCTTCGAGGGTCTCAAGGTCTTCCGCGGCTTCGACGGCAAGCTTCGCCTGTTCCGCCCCGACCGCAACTGCGAGCGCATGCTCATGTCCTCCACCCGCATCGCCCTGCCCTCCTTCCCTCCCGCCGAACTCGAGAAGCTCATCATCGCCCTCATGGCCGTCGACGGCCCCAAGTGGCTGCCCCGCGAGCGCCCCGGCTCCTTCCTGTACCTCCGCCCCACCATGATCGGAACCCAGCCCCAGCTCGGCGTGCAGGCACCTTCCGAGGCCATGCTCTACATCATCTGCACCTACATGCCCGTCATGGACTCTCCCGTCGGCGGCATGAAGCTCCACACGAGTCCCGAGGATATGGTTCGCGCCTGGGTTGGTGGATTCGGCTACGCCAAGGTCGGTGCCAACTACGGTCCGTCACTGCTGGCTACCGTTGAGGCTCGTAGCCGTGGTTTCGGTCAGATCCTCTGGCTGTACGGACAGGAGCAGTACTGCACCGAGGCCGGGGCCAGCAACTTCTTCGTCGTGTGGAAGAACAAGGAGACCGGCAGGACGGAGATTATCACTGCGCCCCTGGACGACAGGTTGATCCTGGACGGTGTCACTAGACGCAGCGTCCTCCAGCTCGCCCGCGAGCGCCTTGGCGACAGCGTCGACATTGTTGAGCGCAGATACACCATTGACGAGGTCATTCAGGCTCACGAGGAGGGTCGCATCGTCGAGTCCTTTGCCGCTGGTACTGCTGTAAGTTTTGATCAGTGCTCTCCCTCTCGTCCAAACGGTCAACTAAGTACATCTCAGTTCTTCATCTGCCCCATCTCCCTGATCCACCACCGTGGCAAGGATGTCAACATGGGCATGGGCGGCGAAGGCGTCGGCGGCGAATACACCCTCCAGATCAAGAAGTGGATGAAGGACATCATGTACGGTGGCGAGCAGCACGAGTGGGGTGTTGTCGTCCAGGAGGAGCAGTAGAAAGCTCTGCTTAGACGAAGAAGAGGAAGAAAAGAGATCAGAGACACGAGTAAAGAACGGCATTAGCCTTGGTCTGAAAACGACCGAGGTTCGGGTTATGAGATTCAGTCATGGCTGGGGCGTTGTATGGCATTTTGCGCACCAAAAAATCGGCGTTTGCATTGGGGGGTTTACAAGCACCAAAAGAAGTGGTGCATGGTTTGGTAAACTTAGAGTACTACCTCAGCATCAAAATCCACATCATCAATATGAGTATATCACAGAAGGTTTCTTGTGCTTGTTTCCTGTCGCGCTGTATGAATACTTGAAAGTTCTAAGAGCATACGGTCCTCGTGCATCTTGAATGTCTTAAAATCCATACGTACAAAGATATATACATACTGTAGTCATAACAAAATGCTCAAGGTCCTCTCCAGGGCCGTGTCAGGGCACTCAACCGTGGCCTCAGCTACCAAAGTCAACTAGGTACGTTTCCTACCTAGTCCCAAGCCCACATGTAGGTTTGATAATTCCGAATTTCCTCCACCTCGACTCACACACACAACAACGCCATTCGCCAACTATTCAACCTTCACCACAGCGACGCGCTTTATAGCTTTCGGTGTCATCATCTTCTACCACCCCCATACATTCTGAATCCCCGAGCAAAAGTCATCCGGCACCCTACACTGCGGCGCTCCCGCCCCCGGCGCCCGGAAACCCTTGTGGCCCCCGCTATCGAGGTGGATACACACGTGGCCCAGCGGCGTGGCGTTGGGGAACGTCTGCCGTAGGAGACAGTCGGGTTGGAGGGTCACCTGCGTTCCCTTGTCGCGCGAGAACCACTGCCAGGATTCGCAGGTGCCGGAGAACCGGAAGCCCGTGATGGCGTCGCCGGCGGGGCCGTTTTCGACGCAGTTTTGGGCTTGGGCGAGGCCGGCGGCTAGGAGGGCGGTTGTGAGGATTGAGGGGGGATGCATCCTAGGAGGGTTGGTGTGTTAGTGGGTGGATGGATGGAAGATGGTTAGGGATTGGCGACTCACTGTGAGGGAAAAGTGCCCGGCTCTGTTCAGGAGTAATAGTGGTCAACCCTTGAGTGAATACCGAGTAACGATTTCTTGACGTGAAGGAGAGTATATTTTGAGAACCTGGAAGGAAAAGAAAAGAAGGACTATTCCGCGGTAAACTGGACGCAGCTGGGGGTGGGCAATGACTGACGAAACTGAGTGCTATGAGTCTCAATAAGTAGTTTACTCAAACCCTCCGTTCCTGACTGATTCAGTCTCTTGAAAGCCTCTATACGTGTATGAACTGACCCCATTTGATTAGTTTGAGTATTGATCAGTAATGAACATATAGAGTTCTAGACTTTCAAAGTTTCATTCAACCTGATGGAAATGAGCATCATGGCTGTTCCGACTATTAGAAATAGAAGCACTTGTTTAGAGTTGTCTTGGCTCAATTAAGAGGGATGATGATCCGTCTCCGTCGTGAGTCGTGATACAATGACGTGAGAAAGGTTGGTAGCTAACACGGTCTACCGCATTTGGGCATAAGCTTAGTAAAACTGCTGGCCCTCCGGCATCCCTTGTCGAACTCTCGGTTCTCGGAGTCATGAGACGAACGCTGACACCGGCGATATGTGCCTGAGTCCGGGTGCCTGGAGACTTACAAGCTACAGTAAAGTCTAAATCTGGTACATAAATTCTGCCTCTTGATCTGTGTTCTTCTGCCCGACATCATTAAGCCCCTGCGACTTACCATAAGTGGGCTGAAGGGATGGTATTTATCCGCATGTTGGTTTTTGGTATTTGATCTGCGCCCCTCTGAACTCGCCGGCGGTCTTGGCAGAGTCTGGACGCTCCGAATGATGCTGACGGCCTAAGAAACGCCGTTTGAAGACAGTTTTCGGCGGATTATTTTCAACTTTTTAAGACTTATGGCGAGTCAGCTTGAACAGTTGATACTATATACAAAGCAAAGTTGATTGAGGTCATTCGAAATGATGAAGATCACTCCATGTTAGAACACATGATGATTATAAGTAGATATCTGTTTCCAGGTTCCTTTATGTTTGCCCTACATCTCCAGCGCCTTCAGTCCTTACTTTCTCAAAGCCTTTGATCTTTGGTCACTCCTTCAGAAATAACTTTTTTATCTCTCCAATCACTCATTTTACCCTTTTTCCAACTATCAACCAGTCACGCCATCACATCCGCTCCTTCAAACAAACAGTATAGACACAATTGCAGAACTATGAAGAGCCAACACATCGCCCTACCAGGTCTCCAAGCCGTAGCCGTCGCCTTCCTCGGAGCCCGCGGCGCCTCAGCAGGAAAAGTCTTTTGCGCCGATGCCAACAACAAAGTAGTCGCCGACACCAAATGCGACAGTAAAGCGCCTGCCAACACTTTCTACATGTTCAACAGCGAGGGGGAACATCCCGTTGGAAGCACTGTCGACGAAAGCCAGGTGGACTTGTATGATAGCGCCGATATGATTGAGCGCCAGAACGCGCGGTTTCCACCGGATTATGAGATGGAGTTGGAGGGGTTTGGGAAGAGGCAGGAGTGTGGTGGTGGTGGTAGCCGGGGAGGTTGAAGATTGGGTAGAGTGAGAGCGAGGATGATCTGGTGTCTTTTGTTTTGGAACATCACAACTATGCTGAGTTGGAATGCTTCGCTTCTCTTGAACGAGAATGAAGGCGGCTTGGTGGTTGTTATTCATAGTTATCAGTCGAATAAGGCAGCCGGAATGTACACACAGCTATGAGCCATGTCATCTTCTTGAACAATCCGCATCTAGAAGATGCAGTCAACTATGCTGAACTATCACAAATCACGGCGGTGTCTAGGAATGGAATGTGGCGTTTACGCACAAGGTCTTATTAAATCTTGCAGTGACGCCGTTTTATCTGCAATCTGAGCACGTAAGTCAATAGAACTCAAAAACTCGAAAAGAAAGCGGTAAGTCGCTGCATCCACATATTGCTTGAGACACACTTTCAAACCCCCCCCCCTTTTCTAGACTAAGTCCTTAGACATTTAGAATATTTATTTTCCTCCAACCTTTGCAAATGTGTTGGAATAGGCCTACATTAGGCAGCAGGAGGTTGCTGCCGCGGTCCGTTCCAGCCACGGTGGTCCGTGTGGCTCAGCCACACGAGGGTGGTATACCCCAGACTTCCTGCCGCCGCTGGCACCTGGTTAGACTTCCACTCAAGAACAACAAGAACAAGCAATATCACCACTACAGTCGGTGATCGTTGCTACCCACGATACTCGAGTATTTTCCTTTTCCACCTGTGAATCCAACAAAATGAAATGCCGGCAACAACATGTCAAAACATATATTGCATCAACCAAAGCTCCCAGGGAAGTCCTTTAAGAGCAGGCGTTGAAGATGTTCTCTCCCACTCATGTAGTTCCAAGACTTGACAATTACTTCAATTTCGTCCTTGCTCGCGGTTACTTAATGTGCTTAGCCGATCTCGGCGCATGTCGATACATGGGCTGTTTACTAGGATTGGTAGCACTTGCCCATTTTGTGTTGCCATTGCATTGGGCCTACCTACTTTACCTAAGCCGGGCCGGACCGACAGAGACGTTTTTGATCGTGCCAAGCCCTTGTTTCCCGAATGTGAAATGGCGTACTAGACTCAATTCTCCAGTCTCGAATACCTCATGATATCAATGATTGTACCTTTACGGAGGATTTCCCTTGAAAGCCAGATCTCGTTAAGGTTGGTCTTTGGCGCTTTTGAAGCCGGAATACACAACCACATCAGTTACTACCTATGTATTTCATGCGAGATTGAATATGGCTAGAACTGTATTCAAGATCTTGGTCGCCAGTTCAGATGGTGCATCGATCAGAGCGTTGCTGGACTACCTGGATTATGATGACGGGGCATCGTCACCTCTGGGAAAAATACCTTGGCAAACGATCCTCATGGCAAGTATCGGCGTTAAGTACAATTGGTTGGCCCGGTGGGGAATCGCCATGCATTCGTGCCCTGGCGTGCCTGACTACAGCTACAGGTTTCAGTGATATTGGGTCCTGTGGAGCTCTAGGCATGACTAGTAAGATGGACCTAGAGAGTAGCACGGCCGGTGGGAGATCTATACGACACGGTCAACACCAATCATTCCCCGGCTGCGGTGGGATTCGACAAGGTCGTGAGGATCCCGGGCCGGCAGAGTGGGGCCGGCAGACGGAGATGAACTACTCCCCTCCCCGTCCGGACCGTAGGGTCGTGAAGTGTCCGTTTACGGCCATAAGATTCAACTCATAACCTCTTGGATCAAGATACAGACTACATGGAGAATCCTTCACTTTCTTATGCACGTTATTTGATCTCTTAGTCCCTTCCATCCCCAGCCTTACGCGTTTCACCATGACCTTCAAGATTGCCATCGTCGGCGGTAGCGTCGCCGCCTTGGCGCTCGCCAACATGCTCGAGAAGTTCAACATTGACTATGTTGTTCTCGAAGCCTACCCCGAGATTGCTCCCCAGGTCGGGGCCAGCATCGGCTTGTTGCCCGACGGATTACGGATCCTTGACCAGCTTGGCTGTTACGAAGCGTACCGGGCCAGAGCTGAAGACCAAGTATACCAACACGCCTATCTTAGAGGGGAGAATGGTGAAATCTCCTGCTATCAACATGATCTGATGGACATGTGGGAGAAAACACAAGTGTCTTGTCGGGTTGTACGAACAACGACTGACTAAGAGACAGGCTCGGATATCCTATGATTTTCATTGACCGGCAGATGCTCATCCAAGTTCTGTACGAGAACCTGAAACATTAAGACAGAGTGTTAACCTCGCAACGAGTTGTGTCTGTGGAGTTTACCGATTCCGGCGCTCATGTTACTACTGTTGGAACAGCAAAGGCTGATAAGGAGTAATGGGAAGGTACCATGGGCTGGCTGGCACCTGCCCTGGGCGAAGTGGGACAACTGGCTTAGTCATCACGGCCGGATAAAGGTGGGGCAACCACCCAGGCCGTCACTACCTACTTCGACCGACTCCTGCCTACAATGTAAGATAGAACAACAACAAGAAGAACAAGCAATAGGATCACCAACAGACGAGTGATAATTGCTACCACTATTTGTCGTATACGACCCCGTGAACCAACAACTACGAAAGACAACAAAGTTTTCAGCGGAGACATTGTCGTCGGAGCTGATGGAATCCACAGCACGGTCAGGAAGGAGATGTGGCGACATGCGCCAACCGGATATTTCCCCTTGGACGAGGAATCCAAGGTTCCTGCCTCCACTCTGTGCGTGTTTGGAATCTCTCATAGGCCGGAGGCTTACCCCAGAGCCAATCAGCACAACACAATGTCCCCTGGCCACAGCTATTTCGTAATGGCTGCGCCTGGAGACCGTGTCTACTGGTTCTTGTTCATGGAGTTGAAGACTCTCCATGGCAGAGATATTCCGAGGTATGCCATAACTCGCACGTGTAAAAGACCGGGACTAATCTCCTCCCACAGGTACACCAAGGCCGATGAAGAGAGCATCATAAAGCAACACTGGAACGACCGTATCCTCGAAAATATGACACTGGGTGATCTCTATGAGAGACGTATTGCTACGACGCTTGCACCACTCCAAACCTATGTTTTTGAAAAGTGGCACTACAAGAGGGCCATCGCTATTGGAGATTCTGCACACAAGGTAAATAAACAGCAAATGCTACTAGGATGAAGTGCATCATCAGCACAGTCGCTAATGATACGTCCTTGGGTAGGTTGATCCCGTCACGGGCCAGGGAGGCAATGGAGCAATCGAGTCAGCTGCGCATCTGGTCAACGCCTTGTTGCGTAACCTTGACCAAACCCCGGATGGTCTCAATGAGAAGCAGCTGGAGAGCGTATTTGCTGAGGTGCATGCCAAACGCTTTGTAAGTGACGATGCCCTCTACTACTAGCATCTTGTACGAAGAATCCATAAGACTGAATCGGGAGCTGACCAAAATCAGGAACGTGCTCAACACATCGTCAAACAAGGCTACTGGCTCCAGGACGCCTTTACCCTGCGAACCACCATGGGCAAGCTGATTGCGCGCAACTTCATGCCTTACTTGGGCTCTTTCGGAGTTGTCTACAGAGGCGTCGAATTTTGTGCGCCTGCAACCAAGTTGAAGAGACTGAAGGTACCTCATCGCCCTCGAGCAGTGTTGTTCGAGGACGAGTTGCCAGCGAAGCCTCTCAAGAGCTTGAGCAGTTTGAAAAAAGCTCCTGTCTGTCGCATTCGTCTGCATGCTCTGTGCTATAGCGGCAGGGGTGCTGCGTCTGCCAAAGAATCTCGAGACCTTGGTCGATATCCTGTGCTCTTCCACCCGTGGAGATGCGTCGATGTTGCCGGCTATCGAGTTCATGACGAACACCGCCTCGCTCTCGCATTGGCCGACTTAAACCGCGTGGGTAATCAGCTGATATCTGTGACCTTGTAAGTTAGTCCCTAGTCATCAAAGCCAATGACCCAAAAACCTATTCTCAAGAGCAGACTAACTCGGGGAAAATCACTTTCAGCATCGTCATTTTTCACCATCTTCAACAACACACTCGGCCCAGGTGGCTTTGCCCCAATCTCATGCCTCTTTGCCCACTGGTCTTGCAACTCCATCGTCGGCAGACACGTTCCCCTCGAAAACGCCAAGAGAGTGTTGCCCATCACGGCCGCGGGGTATCTCCTACCCGCAGCCGTCGCGCTGTATCGACAGGACGCAAACTCAATCAACGTCTGGCGCAATGCGCCGATCCTCTGCTTCATGTTGGCCAGGAGTCTTTCCGTGTTTGGAACACAGTCCGGATCTTAGCAACTTGAGAACGAAGAGTCCAAGCTGCAGAGCACGAGAGAAAAGTCCCGGAACATGTTTGCCAAGGCAGATCTCCCGGTTCTTGGCCTCGTCTACTACTCGACCCTGGCAATCTCCGCAGCCATTCATCTCACCAACGTTGCCCTTTCGGTATAAAGTACAGCTTGTTTGGTGGTGGAAACGCGGCGTTGATGGCCCTCGGTCTGTCCAAGCTGGATATTTTGATCTTCACGCTCTGCTCGCTGATGCTTGCCCTCGGCACGGCGCCATGGAGTCTGCGACACTGCGGATATATCAAGACGAAGCAGGCGTTGACCCAAGCCGCAGCAGTGGTACTGGGATCAGCCGTCGTTGGTCCTGCGGCGACGCTCGCAGGTATCACTGCATATCGTGAGGAAATCGTCGCTGGTCTGAGCCATTAAAGACATGTTGATGGAGGCTGGAGCGAGCTTAAGCGCGGTTCCTCACAAACTCTGCCTGACGGGCCCGTCTCCCGTATCACCGTGAGCTATGGGGACTGCTGCTGAGATAAATTTCAGGGTCGTTAGTGCTCGCCTTAAAAGAGCCCTTGGAAATTAAGTAGATAGGTTGGCTCATGTGTCATTCTCAATAGTAAGACTAGGTTTCGTGCCAGAAGCAGTCTCCGTCCCCAATTTCTCAAGTCAATTGGTGTTACTCACGGAAATTTTTCATCCAAAGCCTGCGTTGAGCCATTTACATCAAAATACCTTATGCAGGATGTATGTCATCATTGGCTCTCACGCCACAACCAACCAATGTTTTCCCCGGATGCTACGCTCACCTAAATTTCCCCAACCCCCAGAATGTTTCTCGGTCTTGCTTTGTTTAATGCCAAGAACAAGCTACTCCTCATCTCCGAGTTTCTAGGTTGCAATCGGATCATGTTCGCTACTAGAACAGCCGGGTTGGAAAAGTCGTTTGTCGTGCAGGACGTTACACCCACGCTCTCCGACGCTGCAATTAAGCGGCGGAAAACAGGCGGAAAACTCGTGTGGAACTACCCCCGCATGTTGATCATTTCCCTGTTGGCTTATGGTTATTGGACTAGCGGTGGATTTTCTCTTCGCTGATCTCTGGGGGACGGCCGATACTTCTGACGAAGCTAAGGTTCGTGGCCTGCTGGGTGAGCCGGCGCATCGCGAGATGACTGGCGAACCCGGAGAGGCCGCATATGCAAGGTGAAAAGAAGATTGTATAAATATCGGGCGTTTTCACCACGAAACTCTCAATCGTCGTGGAAGGCTCGATAACCATCCTGCTCCGGCATCAAGCTCCTCCCAACTTCCTTCGTCCTTGGTTCTCATCTTCATACGGAACGATGGGCTTCTCGTTGAGACGTCTTGCCGTTGCGGCCTCTGCATCAGTCCTTACTGGTCGGGTGCTGGCGCAAAATGGCTCAGCCGCAGGTAAGAAGATGCTATGCCATGTCGGAATGCCTATGTGCGAGACTGACACCACAAAGGCATTGTCGTTGACGGCAAGTCTTTTGCCCTCAATGGCGATAGCTCCTCATACCGCTTCCATGTGGATGAGCTGACGGGCGACCTCTTGTCTGACCACTTCGGCGGGTCGGCGACGGAGAGCATGGAAATGCTAGCCCCAGAAGTCAATGGCTGGGTTGACATGATCGGCCGGGTTAGACGAGAGTACCCCGACCTTGGACGTGGAGACTTCCGGGTCCCCGCAGTACAGATCCACCAGTCTGAGGGATACACGGTCAGCGATCTCCAATATCGTTCTCACAGAGTCACGGCAGGAAAGCCTGGGCTGCCGGGTCTTCCGGCAACATTTGGAACCGATGATGAGGTCTCTACTCTGGTCGTTTCGCTCTACAACAACTATAGCTCCATTGCCGTCGATCTTTCGTACTCAATTTTCCCCAAGTATGATGCCATTGTCCGAAGCGTCAACATCACCAATGAGGGGGAGGGCAATATCACCATCGCAAAGGCCGCAAGTCTTAGCGTTGATTTACCCTTTGAAGACCTTGAGATGATCGAATTGAGAGGCGACTGGGCTCGCGAAGCTATGAGAGTCCGAAGGAAGGTTGGCTATGGCACCCAGGGGTGAGTGACGGATGACTGCTACTGAAACTCCTGAGGAACCATTGGCTGACCCGAATACCACATAGCTTCGGAAGCACGACTGGATACTCATCCCATCTCCACAACCCATTCTTGGCCCTTGTCTCTCCAGACACTACTGAGTCCCAAGGCGAAGCATGGGGGTTCTCTCTTGTCTACACGGGCTCGTTTTCTGTCGACGTCGAGAAAGGTTCCCAGGGTTTCACTCGTGCCATGCTCGGCTTCAACCCCTACCAACTCTCATGGCCCCTGGCACCGGGAGATACCCTCACTACTCCCGAGGTTGTCGCTGTCTACTCGGATGCCGGCGTCGGTGGCGTTTCCCGGAAGTTCCACCGTCTTTACCGCAACCATCTCATGAGAGGCCAGTTCGTCAACCAGACTCGTCCCGCATTACTCAACAGCTGGGAGGGTCTCTACTTTGACTACAACGAGAGTACCGTCTACGACCTGGCTCAGGAAGCGGCGCAACTCGGTGTCAAGCTGTTTGTGCTCGACGACGGATGGTTTGGTCAAGAGTACCCCCGGTTGAACGACACGGCCGGCCTTGGCGACTGGGAAGTCAACGCGCAGCGCTTCCCCGATGGCCTACCAGCTCTCGTCAACAAGGTCACCAATCTCGAGGTTACGAACACGACAGATAAACTTCAATTCGGTCTCTGGTTCGAGCCCGAGATGGTCAATCCCAATTCTACTCTTTACCATGAGCACCCCGACTGGGCTCTTCACGCCGGCAACTACCCTCGAACGATCAGGAGGAACCAACTTGTGCTCAACGTGGCGCTCCCAGAGGTGCAGGAGTTCATCATTGACTCCGTTTCCAAGATCCTCTCCAGCGCCCCCATTTCCTACGTCAAATGGGACAACAACAGGGGCTTCCACGAGACCCCTGTCCCAGGCATCGGCCACTCGTACATGCTGGGCATCTACCACGTCTTTGAGGTCCTCACCTCTCGATTCCCAGACGTGCTTTGGGAAGGTTGCGCCTCCGGAGGCGGTCGCTTTGACCCCGGTGTCCTTCACTACTTCCCTCAAATCTGGACTTCTGACAACACCGACGCCCTGGACCGCATCTCCATCCAATTCGGAACTTCACTGGCATACCCTCTCTCTGCCATGGGAGCTCACGTCTCTGCGGTACCAAACCATCTTACTGGCCGCACGATTCCCATCAAGTTCCGCGCTCACGTCGCCATGATGGGCGGATCTTTTGGCCTCGAGCTGAACCCGGCGGTCATCTCCGCCGAGGACAAGGTGCAGATTCCCGAGCTGTTGGCCTTGGGCGAGGTGGTCAACCCCATTGTGATTGGAGGCGATCTGTGGCGTCTCAGTCTGCCAGAGGAGTCCAACTGGCCGGCCGCCATGGTCATCTCAGAGGATGGGTCGCAGGGTGTGCTGTTCTACTTCCAGGTGCGCGCTCTGTACAACCACGCCTTGCCGCGGCTCCGGCTCCAAGGCTTGGACCCGACGGCCAAGTACTCGTTGGATAACAACGGCACCTACTCCGGTGCTACGCTGATGAGTACGGGAGTGCAATACGCTTTTGATGGTGACTACGACAGCCGTGTTGTGCTCATCTCAAAGGTATGACGGACGCACTAGATATTCTAGTGGAAGGACGTCTTGCAAGGGTAATTAAAGTGATTTTTTGCAAAAGCCTGAGTGATAGCTAGAACTAATTATAATCACTCAACTCATCCCTCGGGAACCGCGGACTGATCCTGAGCATCCTTAAGTTTTGAAATGGAAATGCACTGCAGCCTACTAATGACAACCCTAGGGAACAGATTGCTTACCCCATAGGACGTTAACAATCCCTGATGGCAACTGTGCTACGTATTGGTATTGCTCGAGGAGCACATGATATGACGCATTGAGATTGCCGCTCAACTCAAAGACACGGTCCGAAACCTTGGTTGAAGCTATTTCCTTTTTCGACCTACAAGGCCATTTTGCACGGATTTTTTCCTTTGTGAACCAATCAGAGGCTTGGAATTGAGAACCGACGAATGATGAGGAACGCCGGAGAGCCGTAGCCGGCGATGTCACTCGATTCTCGAGCAACTTTGCCAACTTTCAAGACTTGTCACGATTCCACAGCTCGCAACACTCGCTCAGTGGCTCTTTTCATTCAACAATTAGACACTACATCGACTGTCTAGCAGCAAATTAGTGGAGAGTCGAGGATTGACTCAGCGCTAATTTCATTCGCAATCGCTCACCTTCAGAGAAAATTGCAACTGGCCTGTCGAAATGGAGGAGGTCCAATCCCGGCCGCGGCCTCCAAGATCCGCCAACAACTCCAAGTCCCACCCAGTTATCCGAGTCAAGACCGGCTGCAAGACCTGCAGGTGCGCTCATCTCGTATTGCAACGCGATGAGATGATCTTCTGACTGATACTCAATATCAAGATACGAAAAGTGAAGTGCGATGAGACCCGGCCAGCTTGTCGACGCTGTATCATCGCAGGCAGGACCTGTGACGAGTACGGGATTTGGGCTTCCCGAGATCGCAGCACAACGCCGTTTCTGTCGCAGCAAGAATCGTTTATCTCGCTCCGTAACATCCGAACCTCCACCATCGGATTGACGGATGCTGAGAAGAGGCTCTTTGAATGGGTTTCCCGCCGTGCAATTGCCAAGCTGGCGGGGGTATTAGACTCCTCTTTCTGGGAGACGATTGTTCTCCAGACGAGCTCGAGTGAGCCAGCCGTTATGCATGCGGTCCTGGCACTTTCTTCCGTTCACAAGAATCAAATGACCAATACCGGCTCTGCACCAGACCAGAGACCCTCTTGCTTGGACTTCCAGGAGCGTTGCACTTTACAGCACTACAACAAGTCAATAGTCCTTCAAAAACGCCTGACCCGCGACGACCCAGAGTCTGTTCATGTGGCTTTGATTTGTTGCATTCTTTACATCTGTTTAGAGTACATGCGTAAGAGGTTTAAGGCTGGCCATTCCCATCTCAGTCACGGCTTGAAGTTATTGGGTCCTATTAATAACCCTGGCCTCAAACGGGGGAACCGACTCGACGATATCCGCTCCAATATTGCCCCAGACTCGGTGGCCAGATGTCTCCTCGACACTTTTTCGCACTTTCTCAACCAAGCGAGATCACTGAAAGGTCCTTTAGGCGAGGAAAGACAAAGCGACGAACCACGTCCATCACGACAGCTCCCTTGCTCTTTCGAATCACTCATTGAAGCTCGGTCTCATCTGGACGAACTCCTAGCTAGAGCTCAGAAGCTAAGGCGATGTATCCTAGCGTTTGCGTCGAGCTCTGATGTATCTCATGCGTTCGAAATGCTTGTCGTTCAGTCATGTCTGAGGAATGACTTGGTATCATGGTCACGCGTCTACGACTCCTTCAAGGCTCGACGATGGACTCACTTATCGGCGCGAGAGCGCCTCGCCTTTCATCTTCTACCCGTGTATCACACCATGGCGCAGATCATCACCGAAGCATCTTTGCATCCAGATGGTGAGCTCATCTTCGACAAGTTTACCTGGCATTTCGAAACGATGACGGCATCTTCCAAGGAAATCCTGACTGCAGCATTACCTACGATGGCAGCAGACCTCTCGTCGGGGCACTGCACCGCCAAATTCAGCTTTACTGCCGACATGGGTCTTATACCACCACTTTACTACGTGGCGCTCAAATGTCGCAACCGACGCATCAGACGCCAAGCTATTGAGCTCATCACCGATAACTTACATCAAGAAGGCATGTGGGACGCGAAACTCGCCGCGGCTGTGGCTTCGGAAGTAATGCGAATGGAGGAGGAAGCCTATTATCAAAAGTCACCTTCAACAGTCCAGAGTTTAGGAGCTAAGAGTACTGTCGGAGACCAACCAGACCTCCCGGTTCTGCCGAAAGACTGTAGATTGCTTAATGTTCGATTACAGTTGCCAGATGATTCAACCGGCGAGCTGTCCTTCTCAGGTACAAGAAGGCGCCTAGACAGCACGTTGGAGTCGTTCAAAAAGCTCTACGATCTGAAGGCTCGAACATGGAAGGTCTTAGAGGAAGCTGGAGGAAACGGCTCGAACTAATCGACTGACAACAATCGATGTAATGTTTACCATGTCTGGAACTTCTATACCACGAATGAAAACAAGACTCATTGATCGAAACTTGCTTATTGCGTCTATCAATGCACCCCTTTTCTCCGGACCAAGTTTGGGAATTGATCGCGTCTCAGTGCCAGATATACACCTTCTCAATCTCCCTCTGCGTCCAATCCCACAGCTTAAGAGCGAGATTATTGTCTTTCGCGAGAGCACTGCCATTCCCAGCAACGCCAACAGGCTCATAGTACTCGCCATTCTCAACCCCATCAGCAGTAGCAGCCCACAGCTGGCTCCTCGCGCCCTCCTCCACGTCGACTCCGATGAGTGGAACCACCACTTTCCGAAATGCCCTGATGAGCAGGCTACCTTCCGTAGACTTTTGCAAGTCGGTCTTGACTGTGCCCGGGTGGATGGAAACGGTCGTCCACTGGGGGTACCTCTTGGCCATCTCGCGTGCGTACAGCAAGTTGGCGAGTTTGCTTTGTCCGTAGAGAGCATTCGCCGAGAGGGGTTTGGTTTGGCCGTTTGGGCAGAAACTGTCGAATTGCAGGCCGCCTGAGGGAGGGTACTTGTGAGCCACGGAGCTGACGAAGACGACGCGGACGTCGGCTTTTCCGCCGCCAACATTGCTCTCGGTGGCTGTCGTCCGCAAGATTGGAACCAGAAGTTTGACGAGCAAGGCATGGCCGACATGATTGGTCCCAAAATGCATCTCATGTCTCTCCTGCGTTACACTCCCAGCAGGCACGTTCATGACGCCAGCGTTGAGGATAAGGATATCGAGACGAGACGCCGCAGCGAGGAACGTGGTGGCGGCGTTGCGTATAGAGTCGAAGGAAGTGAGGTCAAGTTTCGGAAACTTGACAGAGACCGCGGGGTAGGTGCTCTCGATTGCGTTGATAACGGCTTGGGCGTTGGGCGCGCTCCGGTCCGCGATCCAGATCTCGGAGTGGTTGTGCTTTGCGAGGTCTAGGGCGGATCGGCGTCCAAGGCCGTTGCTGCCGCCTGTGATGAGGATGACTTTGCCTTGGAGGGAGGGGATGTCCCGTGAAGGGAGCCATGATGCGCCTTTGCATGCCATTTTGAGTGGAAGAGTTGGTGATGAGGTATGAACTTGCTGGGAACGGATGAAGGTCGTGAAGGAACTGTTGTCATTAGAGTCAAGGCATGAGGTATTCCGTGAGTAATTGCGCCTTTAAATACCTACGCAATTGTGTAAAAAGATCTTATTTGGTTCCTCTCTTTCATTCCGATTGCTATGCTTTGGTCCATCGGAGACTTGGTGGTAGCACGCAAAGAAGCTCAAGCCGAATGTCCGTCAGCCAATAGGATGACACGCTTTGCGAGCCGGCAAATCGCAACACCAAGCTTAACACCAGGAGCGCGAGGTAGATAGAGTAACACCGCCTCGTTATCAAGCTCCTTTTCTTTATTCTTGTGTAAATCTTAGCTTCAATAGCATTGATCTTTAAGAGCATGGAATTCTCGCTGAAAGTCTTCATGCCGATGATGCCGAGGTGCTGGCGAAAGACTCCAGAAGCAGATCGATTGCCCTGACAGGAATCTGAACCACTGAAGAGATGTACGTCTTGTGCTTTCGATTTATCAATTCATATTGAAACGACCTATGGTATAACTAGCTGAAAGATGTATCCATGATGACGATCGATGCAAGAAAATGGACAGAAATGTGGGAATCTATTACTGGCTGCGCTCGAGGGGCCGGACTGCCAGCACTCCGGAATTCAACCAGAGAGTAATTCCTGGTGATAGTGGGCATTAAATGTCTTAAACAGGCAATGGAACTAGAACTGAGAACGCCTCAAAGAAACGACTTCTCTCCTTCGCTTAATTGACTCGCGTCCACATCAGTCCTGAGCAGGGTTTCCTCGGCCAACACAGGTGTGCTTCCTTCACCAAACAACCTCCACTGCGCGGGGGCCGGGATGCCAAAGTACACAGCCGAAAGAATGCTCCAAGCCCGCAACGGCTTCCCGCTGGTGAAGATCCGTCCAAACAGCTTCCCGAATGTTGGCGCCGCCCCCAGCGGTGCCAGCAGACCGTCCATATACTTGACAAACTCGACATTTAAGGCGTGCCTATCCGAGTCGATCATGTGCTTCTTCCGCCAACCCCTCAACGTGCGGATCTCCCGCATCATCTCCTCCTCACCAGGTAACTTCACGCTTCCCTTGATGACGGCAGCAATGTATCGGGCCTGCGCCTCGGAGACTGGCGTCACGGGTCCGGCTTGCTCGGTCTGACCCATGACGTACAGGTCTTTCCAGGTTGGGGATACGATGGACTTGTACAAGTCCACATGCGGGGCTGGCGCCTCCTTGCTGGCCAGCGCGCCTGAAGGAAGGTATGGCTGGTCGACGATGTGGTATCCGGTAGCGAGGATTACGACGTCGGCGCCAAGGGCATCACCATCCTCAAGGATGACGCCGGTCTCGGTAAAGGAAGCGATCACGGTCCGGCGAAGGGAGAATATGCCGGTCTGTAGCTTCTCGACGAAGTCGCTTCGCAAGGTGGCGTTCTGTGCCATGAGGCCGTGGTCTGGCTGAAGCTCGGGCGGCATCTTGCCTTGGGCATGGTTGAGTATCTTCTCAAAGAGCCACTCCTGGACGCTGGCAGGAAGCCATATCTGGCTGCTGCGGCCTGTGAGATTGAGTCAGCAGAGTATCCCATCAATCGTTTAAGATATGGAAAGAGTAGGACGTACTGTCCCACGCCTCTGTCGGTTTCCCCAAAACGAATCGAGGCAGGATCCAAGCGCCTCGACGGTTGACGATCGTAAGCTCTTTTGCCAGCGGGCCAACTTCACACGCCACGTCGATAGCCGAAGACCCAAGACCGACAAGAACGACCCTCTTGCCCTCATAGGCGCTCGGCTTGCGATAGGAACGACTGTGTAGCACTTCACCCTTGAAAACCTCTCTTCCCTTGTACTCAGGGATGAAGGGCTTGCTGATAATGCCGGTACCGCAAATAAGAGCATCGAAGGCCAACACTTCCTCCCTGTGGCCATCCTCTGCGCTTCTCCTACGGACCCTCACCTCCCAGCCTCCCTCCTTGCGAGGCGCGCATCCTACAACCGTCGTCTCGTAGCAGATGTGCTTCTCGAGTGCAAAGTGCGCTGCGTACTCGTTCAAGTACCGCAGATGGAGCTTGTGAGAGTAGTAGATTGGATACCGCGCCGGATCAATCGGGAAATCACTGTAGCCCGTGGTCAATCGGCAGGAGTTGAGCATGACGCCGGGGTACATGCCGGAGCTCGTCTCGGCAGTCGGATCTGGGTTGTAGAGCCAGAGCCCGCCGAGCGCGGGCGCGCGCTCGAAGCACTGCACTTCCAGGCCCGCTGCGAGGCATTCTTTGATGGCGACGAGACCGCTAGGCCCTGGATGGCGTTAGTGTCTTTATCTTGTGTATGAGGGGACTGCTTTGGAGTGCCTCTTACCTGCACCGATGACGGCGACGCGCTTGCTTTGCGATTCCATCTTGGGGGTAATTCGGCACGAGCACGAGGATCGTCGAAGAAGCAACGCGGATCGCGATGAGGACTGTGAATGCCTAGGGCAACGGTTCTATCCAATTTATCTGCTTTCGCGTTCAAAGGAGGAACCTTTGCTGGCATCCTCCCCTGATTGCACTGCTCCTTTGTATCCTCGTTAAGTGCTCACGGGCGTCAAGCTAGCGTATCCCATCCCTGTCTGTGTAAGCGCAATGAATGGTGCCTTCCAGCCCCAGAATGGTGGTCAGCAATATGATTGAGGATTCAGGATTGCCAGCAGAGCATTAGTGGAGAGAGATAATCTGGTGATGGGCTGTCAAACCAATCTCTTGGGTCAGCAATTGCATGCGAGTCGACTTTCACTTCCGCAATTGACTTGCAGCCACCACCCCCATCATCCTAGATCAGCCCACGTCGGCAGAATGCAAAAGACCCTCGGATTATACTCAAATCCCAGACCATATAAGACTGGCATTCTTACAAAGTTCAACATGGTGTCAAAGCGTCGATTAATATGTACAAAAATGGAGGATTTTACATGACGGGCGAAGACGCCGCTTTCAACGTCGTTCACATCTATGAGTCTATCACAGTCACTGCAGCTGCAGCATCTATTCTATATCGTTCGGTAAAGACAGTGTTTCCTCCTCCCTTACTGACCAGCCAGGAACCCGTTGATGTTGGCAGTGATATCAACCAACGGCCATTCGGTTCGGTTGCCAGCCAGCGATCCCGCGACCTTGGCGTCACCAAAGTACTCCGTCACCGAGTAGACGCTGCCGCCAATCTGCACAGTCGTCACCGTCGAGCCCCCATCAGCCAGGTACGCGTTGGGTACGGTACCAATGACAGCGGCAGACTTCCACTTGGCATCAGCCGAGTGCAGGACCACCGTTCCCTTTTCATTGTCAGAGACGAGGATGACAGTGCCGTTGTATCGGGAGGGGATCGAAACACCGTCAAGTGCCGCGCCGATGGTATCCGCCGAAGTCAGGGGCACCCGGACCGGCTTCGAGGCCGTGGCATTGGCGGTGTCGAACCGGTAGAGCTGGCCATCCGAGCTGTCGGCAACGAGGAGCGCCTTTCCGTCGGGGGAGGAGACGAGTCCGGAGAGGCCGTGGATGGAGTGGTTGGCGGGTGTCTTGAGGTACCACGGAACGGCCTTGGAGCCGTCGGGGCTGACGCGAATGATGCTGCTTGGGAACGTGCCGATGGCATACGTGGTGCCGTCGGGGCCGTGAGCCGTGTCCTGGAAGCCGCCGTACACGCCGCCGGTGACCTCGGTCAGGTTGCGCTGCCACAGGACCTGTTTCTTGGTGAGGTCGTACTTGACGAGGATGTTGTCGCCCATGATGTTCTGGCCACCAGTATCGAAGGCGGATCCGGCATCAATGATGATGGAGAGGCGGTCGAGGGGATCGACGCGAACGCCGCTTGAGTGCAGCTCGGGGTTGAAGCTCAAGCCTGGGATCTCGATGGTCTGGATCTCGGACGTGGTAGGGTTCCAGGAAATGACGCTGGCGTTGTAGAGGACGCTATCAGGGTTTAGCTTCTTGCACTTTTCTGTCGTTTTCAAGGTATCTCAGTATGATTATGGGGAATCTTACCTGAAGTAGGCCACACAGCGCTTAGTGTCGAAGTCTGCATTCTCGGGATACAGCTGGAACGAGTTGACGGTTTGATTCCCGGTCACCTGGGCGCAGGCCGTGGTAGCATTGTGATACTTAGTCAGGCAAGCTTGGATGGCTGGCAAGGCCAGCAAAGGTAGAACGAGGGTGAGAAGTCCGGACATGGTAATGAAAGTGTAGTAGTATTGTCAACGAAAGTCAGTTGTTGGTGATGGTATCTAGAGCTCTTCCCGTCTAACCCGGGACATCATGAAGCTTATATGTTTACGTCTTTGGTCTACCAACCTACCCATTCACGACTTATAAATGCAGAGGCTTTTACGGATACAAAAATCGGCAGCACGTCAGCGCATGTCAACTCATTTCTCGCGATGCTACGGCTGGGACCGAGAGGGCCCCGCATCCATGGGTATGCCCCGGCACGGCAGTGTGAGTTGACTCGTGCGCGCGCGCGGTCCGAATGGAGACGACTGCTGCGTAGAATGGTTTTCCAGCCCTACGGATCCAAAGAGCATCCGGCGGGAGCTACTTCGTGTTAAGCTCTTCATCACCCCAGTGCCTAGCAATCCATCTCTACAGATTCAACGCAGATCTCGCACTACGCTACTACGTGATATGTCAAGTTCCCTGCCAGCCTTTAGATTAGTCCTGATGTAGGATTCCCCAAGGCCATACATAGAGTCTCGAAGCATTGGAGCGAATTTGTTTACAGATCATAGCGACGATCATAGCTACAAGCAACAGCCCCCGCCCCCGGGCAGCCTGGCTTGGAATATTCTCTCATGCTTCTTCTCTGCAGAACATTAAGGCTTGCACCGAGTCCTTGCTAGTCCCTTTGGGATAAAACATCCAGTGATCTTGGCGGCCCACAATGAGTAGGTAACAGTTAGTCAACGCAGAAGGGGGGAACAGCACCCTTCTTGGGTGTCTTTTGGTTGG